AACAAAACCATTATACCCTGATTTCCCATTTTCAATGGGTTCAGGGTATAAATATATATATATATTTAAGTGTGCTAAGTAAATCATTTTTGCATTCATTTAATATTATAAATTTTTTTGATCAAGTTTTGATCTACTATTCTAGCTATTTTCCTAAAATATTTCCTATTATTATTAGATTTTTTTTATTCACATATTTCTCTGCCGATGCTATTAGTTTCACATAGTAGCTTATTTCAGTGCCAACAACAAATTTTGTTAACCCACTGTCAGATTTGACAGGCACTTGCAAATTAAGCAGCGATTATTTAGCGCTAAGCGTTTAAAAACGCGCTAGAAACGCTAAGAAAACGCTTGGCACTTGCGTGTTTATCAATCAACTAGAAATGCTCGAAGCTCATATCTAACAGTGTTGCGTAATCTCTAAAAAATTGCAGAGCTGAGTTCAATGATCGATAGAGCGAGAGAAAGAGAGAGAGAGAGAGAGAGAGAGAGAGAGAGAGAGAGAGAGAGAGAGAGAGAGAGTCAGATCTCTCTTTGTTTTTGGAGCTCTGGCTATCTGCGTGCCTCCATAACAAATCAATTAAATTATGATTGGAGCTCTATTTTATTGGACTTTTTGTTTTTGTTTTTTTGGTCAGTTTGTACCATATGAAATCTGTGGCAGCTGGCAGCATAAATATTAGTTATATATGTATATGTATATATATTTCGGCACGAGGAAGAAAATTTTTCGCATGCGAAATTTTCTGCGTAAAATTAAGCAAAAATTAGTAAATGTCACGTACGTCGAATGAAAACATAAATAAATTAATAAATCAACTAAGGCATAGTAAAAACAAATGAGAAATAGCACGAATTAAATTGTATTTATAACGATGAAATATGAACAAGTGTATAACTAACTATATATGTATATGTGTATAAATATATATATGTGTATATATGTAAATATATTTATACACAGGATTTTATTTAAAAATGATTTCAGAATATAAACATAAATTTAGAGCTTAAGTTATGGCAGAGTTTAATAGTTTTACTCATATATTATAAATCATATATATTTTGTTGAGGCAAAAATCGCTCAACATTTATTCAACATGAATTTTATAGTTTTAATAATGGAATTTTTATTAGGCAGTATGCAAATAATATATACATATATGTATATGTTTATACAGCTGTGATAGTTTTAAGTACCATTACCTTTTAAATACCACTAAATATCAATGCGAATATGGATTTTTATCTGCTTTAAAGCTAGCAAATAATAGAGCTATTTACATAACTGTTTAATGCTTTCATAAATAAGTTCGGAATTTTCATAAAAAAAAAAATGTTAACTCATTTGCGAAAGTGAACTGAGTAATGAGTGAAAAATTTGGACCCTATAAAGACTATTGATCGAATATATCTCTATACTATATATTATACTATATAGATTTAAACAAATCCTAAAATATCTTGAGCATTATTTTATGATAAAGACTATAAAGACCAATTAGGTATGGTGGATAGAGGGCGTGGCATATCAGAGAATGCAGTCGGCAAAGCTCTTACATATTTCTGATCATAAATATAAAATAATCACAAACAATAAAATTTTGATTTGAAATTGATTTCATATAATTTTTATTACTACATAGACCTTATATGAGCCCCCTAAACGATTCAACTGTCTTTTTTTATATATTTAATCCATGGCAAGTGTCAATAAGAAATGCTAAAGCACTGTCTCGTTGCGATAGAACGAACATACTCGAGTCTTATCAGGCATATATGTATGTGTATGTATGTATGTGTATATGTCCACTTTTCGATTTCAAAGTTGTCTGTCGCAACGCGTTGTACATATCATAATACCCACAAGGCAAGGAGGGTACATATAAGGAATATAATAAAGCGATTTTAATGGCTATTTTAAAACGCATAAACGCGATTTGCAGTTGCCTTGTCGGCGGAGGATGGGCAAGGCTCGCGGGGGCAGCTTAGATTGTTAACTGTAGCTATACAGATATAGGCAGAATAGTATATATAATTGTGTGTATATACGTATGTACCGTATAGATAGTGCTCTCGCAGTGATCTAAGCAGATGCGCGCCGTTCAAATTGGAATTTTAATTTCGCATTGAGAAAACAAAGGCGACGCATTCAATTGCACGAATCAAACGGGCCTCGAGAGGCGGCACACTTGGGAGTGGGTGGGAATATTACATTGGCAATTGGAGGGTAGCCGCAGCTATCCCCACATTGCCTCAATCCAGCCCAGCCTCTACCCCCGCCAGCGCCATTCAATGTGCAATTAATCGCTAAGACGGTCTTGAAATATAAATAAGTTGAGTAGGCATGTGCCTGGCGGGCATGACTGACTGCATAATACTCATTATAGAGTGGAATCGATTAGCTGTGATCGCAGATATTTCTATATAGCTATATACATATTCATATTCTTGGATACTCAGTAATAATCTATAATCTTATAGCAGCTGAAAGATATCTTAAATTGCCACGCCCCTAAAGGGTGTATGAGAGTATAAGATCCACATATAAAGTCTCTAATGGAAAAATTAGTATATTAGGTGTCATGTATGCCTTGACATTACACCAAACTAATATACCCTCATCACAGTCTGAACGTGTATCAAATGCTGTTTTGCTTTGCATCTCAGTTTCCATACGATTCGGATTCGGATCTTCTCGATTCTCCATCTGCACAGCTGGCCTTCGGAAATAGTTTTTGGTGTTGGCCTCGCGTTGTTCGTCTAATTGAAATTGGAAAATTGCGACTGACAGCACTTAGTGCAGCTTTACTCGTGGCCTGCCTCCCATCGCCCATCACCCATCGCCCAGCTCCATTTCGTGTGCCCCACTCCCGTCTCCTGCTCCATTTGCTGTCTGACGTCACGAATGTGACGCGAGTTGTTGCACAATTGCATTAGGGCAGCGTCTGCCGAAGTTGTTATTGTAAACAATGAGCACAGATGTGCGTTCATCTCCATAGATACCCTGTAATTGGAGGTGTGCATGGGCTAGTTTTGAATGGATGGGAGGTATGTGAGATATAGAAGTAGATCTCAGCTGTCTATACAAATTAGGTAGGCAAAAGGAGAAAATGAAGTGAACACAGCCCTGTATACCCTGTAGTTCGAGTAGAACTTGAGGTCGCTTGGTAGCCAAAGAAATTATTGAATGAGATTTCACTTAACATAAATCTATCAAAGTATATTTCTAATTATTATCAACAGGGTATCATATGATTTATAGTCCAATCTTCTTCTCGCTTCTCTTCGATCTATTTTTGGTCTCAAAAACTAAAAACTAAAAAGTTGTTGTTGTCTTCTCGATTTAATAGTTTTTTTTTCACAGTTTTGATTTTATGTGTGTTTATTTTGATTGGCAGCAATTTATTTACTTTTGCATTGTGGCAGCACACAGACACAGAATGCATATACCCCACAGTCCCACAGAGACACACAAATATCGGTATATATATGTGTACATAGATAGATTTCGAATTCAACTGTTTATTGAACTATGCGAAAGACCTTCAATGGGCAGGCGGAATACATTGAGGTTTTATAAATTGTGGAGAGACCGATCTTGAATGCAATTTCAATTACAGGGTATTTACGGGATATTTTTATTTAGCTGGCTCCTTGGGATATTTGGTATTGTAGAGCGGTATATAGTTGGTTATGAGACGCCAGTCGGTAAAATAGATGACGGCCAGGCCAGCAGCCATGCCAAAGGTGGCAGCGGATGGTATGCTGTGGGCGTGGCAAGTAAAATATATTGGGTAGATATATATATTGAGATGGCTATAGCTACTTACAAGACTGTGACCATTGTCTTTTGAGCCTTGGTGGGCTTCAGCTTAGCTAACAACTGCTTGATAGACATTTTCGAGACTTTTTGGGGCAAATAGAAAGTGCGTAAGACAAATTTGTATGAGTTCTTTAGAGCTGTCAGTTAGCTAGGGAGCCAAGCCTACTGCATTTGACAGATGTTTAGAGAAGTGTATGGAGAGGGGCTAGAAACGTCTAGAGGTACAGGGAGGGGTGAAGCAAGCGCATAGAATATAAGGGAAAGTCTGGATGGATTTCCAGGAGGAGTCTAGGAGAGGCGTAGCAGAGAATATTTGTTGAGGGGTGTATGAAGAAGTAAAGCAGTTTGTGTTGGAAGGGTCCAAAGATATTGAATGATTCTTAGAAAGGAGCCTTAAAAAGGAGGAAAACTGGAGGTCTACAATAGAGAAGAAAATGTAGGAAATGGTCTTGTAAATATTATGGGAAGTGATACAGAAAAAAAGTTGAAAAAGAAGAAATAATGAAAGAAATCTTGAAAGGGGCCTGGAAAATAGATTAGGAATTGATCTACAAATGGATTTTGGCACGAATAGATGATGGAAGAGGTATGAGGGACAAGAGAGTCCAAATAGAGGTCAGGGCAAATAACTATAGAGTACTTTAATATCTAAGTTGTACAGTTAAACAAATTATATCGTATGTAAAGAGCGTTTACAGTTAATTAAAATAGTAAATAAAATTTTTATTAATTATGCGAACATTGTGTCATCATTAAGAGAGCGAGTTTTAGAGGGTGTTTTGAGTGACAAGCGTGGGGTGAGGGCAAGACATTACGGAAGATTTAATGGAGGTGTCCAGCAAAGGGTCTACAGAGAGATGATACTATGAATAAAAACTATCGTATACAAATTGGTTTAATCAAGTTTATATTGTCAATTGATTAAGGACAGACTCGAGGAAGGCGTCGCTCGAGCGTATCACTTGGGTGTACGTAGTTCCCATCGATTGTAAATTAATTTGGATGCGGGTAACGCTCTATGTAAACATATTGTGCTACAAATTGAAACATTACATGGGCTTATTTTAATGACACAAACAACTCGCCTGGCAGAGGGAAACGGGGCAATCAAAGAGGATGAGGGAGGGGGAGGCGTTAGTGGGATTTTATGATGACTAAGGTTAGCTGAAGCCGGGCAAAACTGCAGCAATTTGTCAGTCGCAAAATCATTAGCCTAATTTCCAGCTGTATGTGTGTCAGCATGAGTGTGTGTGTGTGTGTGTGTGTGTGTGTGTGTGTGTGTGTGTGTATGCGTGTGTGCTAGCATTTTCTTATGGGTAGAAAGGAAAAAAAAAAAAATTCGTATTGGGGCCCTGCCCTTTATTGTCTTGACTCAACTCAACTCCTTGGCAGACGCGCAGAGTAAAGCAATTTAAATGCCACACCTAGTGACCGCCTTCCACCTCTACACACACACACACACACACACACAGAGACACAGAGACACACACCTGTTCAGTTGTTCAGCTGTCCCTGTCCACACATATGACATCTGGACGACAGTTCAAGGATATTCGACAAAATCCTGGGCTGGGCCCACTTAAATTTCATTGAAATTTTTACACCAACGATTACTTACCTTACCTTTGCACCCCCATTGCAGTCATGCGTCTGCTTTTGCTCCTGATGATGGCCTGCCTGGCCTATGGGCAGCAGCAGCAGGACTACTGCTTTGGCAAGGATACGGAACGGCCACAGACGCGCCAGTTCAGCTCGAAGACGGCCTACCAGATCGTCAAGGGCACCAACATGGACAAGCAGTACCAGGTGCCCGGCTGTGAGCCGAAGAAGATGTGGATCTACCACAGACATGGCACACGTCTGCCCACGCCAGGCACCATCAGGGAGGCGCCTAGACTGGAGGAGGTGGGTGCCCAGTCCTCTTCCCAACTGAACGCATCTCTAATGGTTTTTCATTTGTCCTCCTTGTAGCTACGCGATGCCATTATCAAAAACTATCGCGTGCTCCGCACCAAGCCCGACGAGAATGCTCTGTGCCTCATCGATCTCACTGCCATCCAGATGTGGAAATGGAATGCGAGCATTACGGTTGACATTGCGGAGCATTTGACCAGCCAGGGCTACGAGGATATGCGCGGCACAGCCAAGCTCTACCAGCGCTACTATCCCACAGTGCTGCCCGGCAAATACAATGACAGCTACTATTTGGTAAGAATGAGGAATAAATTCGAATACATGATATGATCTATAAGAAATAGAGACTCCAAGTATTATCCCTGGCATGCTCTACATGAACTAGCTTTTCAAGTCTATTATAGACCCTAAAGAGATACGATTTGTAATCCCTTTCTCTTCGCTCCCCTCTCCAGTTCCGTCACACGGACACTCAGCGCACCGCGGAGAGCTTCAAGGGCTTTGCCGAGGGTCTCTTCGGAGATGCGAGTGTGGCCACGGCTGCGGATATACCCGACAAGGATTTGCTGCTGCGTCCCTATGACTACTGCTCGGACTTCAAGGACAAGAACTACAAGGGCGAGGGCTCCGAGTACCAGAAATATCGCACAAGCGCCATCTGGAATCGCACCATGGCTGATATTACGAAACGACTTGGGTGAGTGCAGAGTGAGCTGAGCTCAAATCCCAATCCGTTGCTAACGCTCCGTCCCTTCTCACCCTGCACAGCTTCACATTCCTGGCCGAGGATGACATCAAGTTGATGTTCGATATGTGCCGCTATGAGCAGGCCTGGCGGGTGGATCGCACGAGTGTGTGGTGCGGCGTGTTCCTGCCGGAGCAGGTGACCGTGCTGGAATATGCCGAGGATCTGAAGTACTACTACGGCACGGGCTACGGCTTCGAGGAGAACACTCGCTTCAATTGCCGTGCCGTCCAGGACATGGTCGCTCGCCTGAGCAGTCCCGTTTCGCCACATGTTGTGGCCTACTTCGCGCACTCGTCGGGTCTGCAGACGCTGCTCACGGCGCTGGGCATCAACAAGGACGACATCAAGCTGCGCGCGGATAACTACGATTCCACGGCCAGTCGTCGCTGGAAGACCAGCCAGCTGGGTCCATTTGCCGCCAACTTTGTGGGCGTCAAATACCACTGCCCCGCCTCGCTGGAGAAGGAGAAGGTTGTCTTCTTCCTCAATCAGAATGCCGTTCAGCTGGACTGGTGCAACGTCGGCCTGTGCAACTGGTCGGACGTACTCGCCCAGTACAAGACCATTTTGGAGGCCGACTGTGATGAGTATTACTGTCGATCGGCTGCATCCGTGGGCCGTGCCTCGATGCTGGTCACCGGACTAATCGCTGCCATTGTCTACTTAATGCACTAGAAACTGGCAAGGATCGGGAGTGGATCTGTCAAGGCTCCATAGAAGTTTTCCCAAAAACTCCGACACAGAACCGTCACCGATCCAACTTAGTTTAGTCTCTAATATGTAATGTACAAAATTCGTACCAAAAAAACAAAATCAAAAAAACATAGCGACGAAAAAACATCGCATGGTGCGTTGGAGGCATTAAAAGTATTTTTCAATTTATGTAAATTTTCTACTTATAACAAACACTTCTTACACAGCAATTAGACAAGAAACAAAAAACACACAGACACACACAAACAAACACACAAATAGCTTTTTTAAATTAATTATTAAACTCTGCTTGTGACAACTTAATACAAATGTTAACAATTAAATAGCTTTATAAAAATAAAATATGTAATAAAACGATTTTAAGAGAACGTTGAACATGTTGTGGATACTGTGGATTCTGTGGATGTTGAGAGCATGGACTATAAATTTTGCCTGCACTGTTGACCCTGGCTTGGCAGCACAAAAGCAAGGCAATTCCAATGGCCGCTCTCTTTACTTGGATTGGTCGCAGGGCTTTTATTACCGTTGCTTAAAGACAAACATTGCAGATAATTTGAGAGCGCTTTCTCTCTTTGCTGTCATTGTAGTATTAGTGTGTGTGCCAGCTGAGCTTGAGCATTGTTCCAAAGGAGCCAGTGTGTGCGTGTTGCTGATCTTGATCAGTTGAGTTTTTTTTTTTTTTTGCCTGTGAAATTATTTTGTTCTTAAGTTTATTTTGTTTGTGCTTCTAAATAAATAAAACAGTTAGTGTTGTGTGAGTGCTAAAAGCGAGAGTGAGAGTTAGACATATTCAGTGCAGAAGTGAAAAGTAAGAGTACGCCAGAAGAGGAGAGCATTATAAATTTGTAAACTGTAATCTGGTAAGTGAGCTTTTTACATTCACGGATATTTATTCACTCAAACTCAATTATCTACATAAGAGTCTCTTGTGCATAACGTAGTAAAAGAAAATTTGATATGTAATATCTATTATTATATACATTTATTATATAATGTTGATTGTTTTTATTTCATTTAAAATTTGCAAATTCTTGTTGGCCGTGGCCGCTCAGCTATCGATAGTTAGCTATCGCATGTTAAAGGTTGTTGTGAATGGCAAAAATTGCAATATAAAGTGTGGCAGCACGGCTGGCGTTAGTGGCAGCACTGAGAAATATTTGGCGCGCGCATTTAAAATGCAAGCAATGAGAATATAATAACTTGACTTAATTTTTAATTCGTTATTTAATATAATTGATGATAAAGAACGATTTCAAATAAACGAGTTTAATTTTCTGTATGATTATGAATAATATATCTATATTATTATTATTTATTTATATAAACAAATTCTTTATCAATGTTTATTTGACCTTTTTGCACGTTTAAAGCCAACGCTTTCCAACACTTTTCCAGTGCCTTAAAATTACATGAACGAACAAAAAATCACAACTTAAAAGCTCACCTGAGGAATCCTTTTCCTTTCTTTTTGTTTTTTGTTGGGAAGACACGAATACTGTGCCGCCTACATTTTGAGCCGTCACGTGCTTCCTGTTAAATGTTCTAATGATGCGTATTAGACCAGACTAAAAGCCACTCATAAGTGGGAGCCCACGCACCTGAGTAGCTGCCAGTTTGCCTTTGACATTGGATTTTCGACGTCGGACAGCGGACAGCGAACAGCGAACATCGGACGATGGGCGATGGGCGATGGCAACGACAGCGAATTTTAAGCAATATGTGTTTTTTATTTCCCATCTTAGTTGACTAGTGTTGCCGTCGCTGTACGGCACACGCCGTTGTCCGGGGCAACACACAGTCCATAGTCGTCCAGTGTCCACCCAACGTCCACCCCCACTGGGATTCTTTAACAAAGGTTCACATGCCCTAAGCCCAGCTCCACGTGAGGCATTCTAACGGCCCCAACGAATTCTGTTTCGACACTGTGTGTGTGTGTCTGTGTGTGTGTGTGTGTGTGTGTGTCTGTGTTGGGGCAATCCAAAGTGCTTTATAGTTACTTAGACATGATGTAGAGTGTATGTGGGACGTTGACTGTGTGTTAGTGGGTGCCGAGGGGCGTGGCTGGGCCTGTTTATATGGCCAAAAAACAAGGCAAGTTTATCTTTGGTCCCATTTTTCGGGGCATTTTGGCCAGAGTTTTCATTAGACTAAAACAGGAGCTAGAGTTAAAGCAACTGTATATAAATCAGCTGTGTTTGGATGTGGGCGTGGCAAAGGAGGAGGAGGAGGAGGAGGAATGCCGCGCTAGATTTTGTAAACTTTACAATGCCCAAGTGCATGAGCTGCTGAAATGGGCAAATGGAGAAAGTCTGCTGCAGACTTGAGGGATATACATAGATAATTGTATAATTTCAGATGTATGCTTGCCTATCCATAATTTTATTGTGTTAATTGCCAGCTCATTTGGGCCAGCATTAGTCAAATACTTTGGCCCGGCTGCAAATGAAGCTGCATAGCTGCGGGCCAAAACCTTTGGCCAGGCTACAATTTGCGCCACTAAAGGCCCAGACCCAGAACGGCAGTTCAGGTAAGCTGAGCTGTTTTCACTGGACGATTTGAGGATGCCCGAGTCAGTTTCCATTGCTGGCATTTCTCTCCTGGCAGTTGGTTAATTACTGGGCTGCCAACGTTGGCCAAGTCAATGGCCGTCTGTTGTTGTGAATTTGATGAGCTTGGCAAATGTGAATTTCACTCTGCTGTCGATAACTAACATAAATTGAGGTAGATATTTTGATTTTTCATGGAAATTTGTGCTGGCTTTTCATTTGCTGCCTCAGCTATTGAGCTTTGCATTTCATTTTCCATGCTTTCTTTTTTTTTGTGCACAGCAAATTTTCATTATGTAGCCACAGCAGAAATAATATTTTTCATTCTCACACACACACACACACACTCTCTGTCTCTCTCGCACACACACACAGCTAAAACCATTTATCATTTAAACACATTTTTAGGTAAAGTTGTTCGGGGTGTGAGGGAGAAGGACTTTGGAGAGTTTTCCGGGACTGGCCACAAAATTGTGTAATTCAAGTTGGATTTAGGCTATGTACTTGTACAACAACAACAACAACATGTACAGTAAACACACACAAAACATGGCCAGGCTTGTTCTAGTTGGCCAATTTGTAAGTCAGTTAAGGCAAAAAAGAAAGTTTACTTCTCTTCATTTTTTTTTTCTGGCTTTTATTTGACTTTTGTTTCTCATTTTAATTAAGTTAACATATTTTGTTGACATTCAGCAGCTAACAATAACATATTTGTCATCTAATAGTTGGCCTTCCTCACACTTTAGACTGGACATTTTCTTGTCGATGCCCTGCGGGCAGAGGGAGATTCTATGGCAAACTTTAATTGAAAATGGAATATTTTGTGCGAGAAATGTGTGCTTCGATGAAATATGCTAACTGCTGAGCTGAGCTGAGCTGAGTTGTTTGACGTCAGCATCCAGGCATGTTGCATGACTCTACTATGCTAGTGCTTGTGGGGATTCGGTTTAAAATTCGATTTCCTTAGTATAATTCAAGCATTGTAAGAGATACAAAATAAAGTATTTGGGCTCTCATTGTATACATGCATACATGGGAGGGTAAGAGGCGGGACTATTTGACTAGGAGATACCCTGAAACTTTCGTAGGGCTGCTAGTCGAATGAGACTATTCTATATTTCAGCTTGAACTCTGTTAATGTGTTTTACTATGGGAAAATAATTTTCAATGGGTATACAGATATGAAATATGTGATAAAATGGATATACAAATATGAAATATGTGATAGAAGATTACTTATTTACTGAAAATAAATTAGGAGCTTTGCTTAGTTGCGCATATGTCGAGAACTTGAAGAGCTAACATCATAGAAATTTAGTATTTAGGCTCTTATCAGGTATCATATGGGCAAAAAATGTTTTAAATTTGGTTAACCAATTCCATTCAAGTCGAAATTGAAAACAAATTCATGTCTTTCTTTCCCCTAATTAATTCCTTTTAAGTCAAAATTGAAATGACATTCAGCTCTCTCTCTCTCTCTCTCCCTCTTTCATTCTCTCTCTCTACAAATATAATTTGCTGGAATTGTAGCCTGTTTTAATTTTCGATGTTTCTAGTGTTTCAGTTCTATTGAAAAACATGTATTTATTTGTTTTATTTACAGTTATTGCGGCCTTATTTTCCTAGAAATTGTTCGAGTTGATTTTCAAGCAAATTTCTTTAATTCAAATTCAAAAGCAATTTGCAGTTATTTCTCCTACAATGGCCACTTAATCTGTGCCATTTGCCGAGTTTATTGCTTGCTTTAAGAGCAACTGATCTTTGCACTCAGTGGGGTACATTTTAAGCAGCTTAAATTTGACATTTCATGCAACCAAATGAAAAGCAAACAAAGATGTTCTCCAAAAAACCACAAAAATAAACCGAAACACAGACGTTTATGGACGTGGGTATGGGCCAGGTTTTGCTGCTATTTTTAGCGTTCAATTAGCAGGTTGTCAACGACGGTAGGCACGACGAGATGGAGAGGGAGGAGCGGGAGCAGGAGCAGGAGCAGTTCCTGTTGTGGCATGGCAAAGGACTCGCTTGCATTCCCACTGATTAAAGGAGAGGCCATCAAGAGGCGACGCTCAAGTGTCTCTCGTAAACGCATTTTAAAGCACAAACCATGTTCTATATGGCTTATAGAGCTCTAAAGCGACCCCATCTGCCAGCACATAAACTGAAGACGGAAAGAACACCCATCAAGTAGTTGAAGAAGAAGAGTCGAATGACAATTGATATACACTTTGGAATGAATATTAAAATTTAAGTTTTACAAGTTGCTGCGAATATTTATATAACATTTAAGATCGCTTCAATAGGACAGTATTCTGCTTGTTAGGGAATATTTGGGCTGCAATTTTGTTCACAATAAATAAAGTTGAGTTAAGAGGTCAAATTTGGTTTGTAAATTATTATATTTAAATGAAGACATAACCCTAGGAATATTTAAGTCATATTAATTTCTCAATTGTTTTTAGATAGATGATTTACATAAGGACAGACAAGCAGAGAGATGGATGAGCATTGCACAAAAACCAATATATTTATTTCGCTTGGAGAGCGAGTAAAAAGTCTAAATATGATATATCTCTGATTTATAAAGAATATAATAAAGCAATCTAGCTTATACGTAATACGACTACGTTTTAGAGCTCAAATGTGAAGTTAACAAGTTATACTTTACAATAACACAATTGATTAGTCGAGGTGATAGAACTCTATAGAACTCTACAGATGGAGTTTCCTTAAATGCTTTTTCCTCTGCATAAGCATAAACCACTCTGAAAATGGATAATGCTCTATGTTAGGGTATACAAATATGAATTGAAGCATGTGGGAAATAACGAGCAGTTGCATATACACACACAGACACTCAGTCACACATGCACACAGACACCCACTGAGATACACTCATACATACACATACACAACGCCTGCAGTAATTTTTGCTCATTTCAAAGGCTGCATAAGCAGCGCTCTCTCTCTCTCTCTCTATATATATATGTGTGTGTGTGGGAGTGCGTGTGCGTATGCCTGTGTGCTGCTCGTATATGTGACATGCGGTGGCTGTAATGCAGAAATTAAATTCATAAATATGCACAAGTTTAATAACATTTCGAATGGAAGCTGTCAAAGGCAAAGACAAAACGCTTTGACGTTCCACAAAACGGCTTTGCATGAATCCACAATGGACTCGCTGGCGAGTTTAATAAGAAGAAGAAGAAGCTCGAGCTATAGATGAGATTAAAGAGAGCTTAGCTCTGCTGGCAAATTGCAGTCGAAATTGGAAAATTGAAATTCATTTGTGGAACGCATGAAAAGTGCCTTTTGCTGACATTTTGTCGAGTCAAATATTTTGTTAAATTTTATTTATTTTTTTACGTCATATGTCAGGCAGGCACTTAAAATAATACATTCTGTTGACTGTTGGCTGTTGTCCCTTTTGCCCAGTATCCTTCCGGCTAGTTGTTGCTCATTGTTGTTGCTTGTTGTTGCTTTGATTTCTGCCGTTGTCTGACATTATGCGTTACACGCAATTTAATATGCAATAAGCGGGCTGTCAGAGACACTTTCGACCACATTCCATCCACTCTATACATACATATGTATCTCTGTCTCTGTCACTCTCTCTATCCCTCGCTATCTGTTTGTATTTGCTACCAATACCATCTTCATGGACTTGTTTGCTCTTGTTCGGCACGAGGCTTGATTTAATGCGTCATATCGAAATGAACCACTGAATGCTAGACATTGATTCAAATGAACTAAACGATGTAGTTCGTAACAAATAATACTGTTTATTTATTCAATGGGTCAGGAAAGATGAATCAATTAACGTGTGAACTTAATCTGAGTTAAGCTGACGACTTTTAAATAAACTCTTCAACTAATTAATCTCGTTAAGTCACGAAATGGACTTACTATATCGAATTGTGGTTCACTGGAATCAACCCTGAATTTTTTACTAGTTTCTGCATAGTTATCTATCTCTCTATCCCGTCCTTTACTACTGAATTAACTAAACTGAGAGCCAAAGAAGCTTCTATTTATCGTTCAGGAACTACTGAAATACTTAAAAATTTAAGCACTTACTATAAACGCCTGAATTTAATACGAGTTGTTAAACTTATTCAGAAAATTGAACCAGTAGTAGAACCAACTTTAGTTCATTGGAAACACTTGTGACAGCCCTCGCGCATATAACTTTGCTCTCATTTAACCATATTTCATTCATCGAATTCCCTTTTGCCTTAACACTTGTTGCCCAGCAGAATTCAACTATAATTTGTTTTCCCTAATTGAGTTCGCTTTGATATGATTCGATTTTAATTTAATTTGCATTCAATTGAGCTCATAATTACAAAAAAAAAAAAAAGAATCAAGTGGGCGTGGCAGTGAATGAGAAATGTTAAGCCAGCCATTAGCTGCAATTGCCTTGCGATTTTATTGCAGCCAAAGAGGAAAAGCAATAGGAAGAGGAGTGGAAGAGGAGGAGGAAGAGGAGGAAGAGGAGGAAGAGGAGGAGGAGGATATGAAGTAGCGCCAGCAGTTGGCAGGTACAGTAGAAGCGGAGGGAGAAGGAATATGCAACAAGCTAAGATAATTTATCTTGAGTGCGCACTTAATGATTCATGTTGTTCTTGTTGTTGTTGTTGTTGTTGTTGTCAGATTAACGCCCAAGTGCATTAATTAAACCTTAAAGGATGCTAAGGCAACGCATGCTCGTGTTTAGATATATGTATATATACCCCTTACATATATATAACCTAAATTCTTATCATGATTTTCATATCAAATTTCCCAGGGAGGGATTTCCGCTCCTTCCACAATTTATTTATGCCTTACATAACTCTGCGCTAATTGGTGCTCCAATAAAGAGCCTTTTTATCGACACTAATTTCAGCGGCAATAACTGGTTAACCGCAGCTAAACTAACCAACAAGTGGGCGTTAACTAAGGCCAGAGCATATACTGGGCAAATATTGCTTATACGCAGCGTAAAAGGGTAAAGATAAAAGCGCAGAGCACGCTTTGTACGCCGTGTGAATCGTTAATAGAGAAAGGAAATGTAATGAAATTTGCTTTGGCTAGAAATTGCAAAGAGCCTTTGATGAACAAGAGAGAGAGAGAGGGCGGAAGAAAGAGAGAGAGGTACATATATGCATTGTGGCAAAGATAGGCAAATTAAAGGAGTTGAGCAAAGTCTGAAAAGTTAAAGTGGGAAACATCCTGAGACTCTTGCCTGGGCTCACATAACTGGGCCAAAACTTGAACGATTTTCCTCACGTTTTCCACTTTAGTTGGACTTTTTCTGTAGCCTCAACTTTGCTGCAAGCATTAATCAATTTCTTAAATCTTCAGCAAAGTTTTTAGATAAACTCTATAAAAAGTGCATTAAATTTGCAGCTATTGCAAAGGGGCAGAAAGAGGCGTGGCTGGCCTGTTAGCAGCTCTGTGTGGGCTTCCTCTACTCCTCTATTTAGCTCTGGTAACATTTTAAATGCAATCAAAGATTTACTTTATTCAAAAGAAAATAAAACATAAACAAAAAATCCAAAAACAAAATTGAAAGTAAAATTCAATAAAATTCCAAAATAGAAATGCTAAATTGCTGGCAAGGCGCAACTAAAATCTGTAACGGCGAATGGCGCGATATTGATAGCCATCCTTGGTCAGGACAGAGCTCTCGCCGTCGGCTGGGCCCTCGACGACGACCCCATCGTCGAGCGGCGGCAAGTACTCCTTGGCAGCCTCCTTCAGCTCGGCGGGCATCTCCTCGGGCTGCTTGTAGTGATAGCCATCGTCACGTAGCTCGGCCGTGGGCACATCGACGACGATTTGGTCCTCGACCAAGGGCTGGGCCTCAGCTGCCGGCGCTTCGGTTTCCGGGGCCGTGGGCGCCTCAGTGCTGGCTGGCTGCTCCTCGACGGCTGGCGGCAGATATTCGTTGGCCACCTTGGGCTGTGCAGCGGAGACAACCTCCTCGGTGTCATCGGCTGCAGCAGGAGCGGGTGGCAGATACCTGTTGCTGGGCGGCGGCAAGTACTGCTGGCCAATGGGCAAATGGGAGACGTCGCGGCGGTTTCGATGGCGCAGCTTGAGGCGACGCACCGTGCGATATTCGTAGCCCTGCTCGCCCCGCACGGCGCTCGGCTCCTCCGTGGCATCGGCGGGCAGATACTCCGTTGCCGGCGGCACGTACTCCATGGCGGCGGCATCCAGCGCCAGCTCGGAGAGATCGCGGCGCAGACGAGCAGCGCCCTGGGGTGCGGCCAAGGCGGCGCTGGCCACGGCGGAGAGGGTGAGCACGGATCCAAGCGAGAAGAATTTCTGCAACAGCAAAAGGCATATACATATGTGTATGTGTATGTGTGTGTGTATGCGTGTGTATACTGTATCCTGTTTTTACCATTTTCTTGTTGTTTACGTTTTTTGTTGGGGCTAACGGCGTCTGGCAATTAAAAGTTGCTTGGGCTGTTTGATGGCTTGACTCTAGTCGACCGTCGCATTTATAGCAAAAAACTTTTGAGCCAATTCAGCCTTAGCCTTCGCCTTGCTCTCGGCCGCAGCTCCAGTTCCAGTTGGAGTTCCAGTTCCAGCCTCCAGCTCCAGTTGAACTCGGTTCGCTTCGCCTCAACTTAATTAAAAATCTTCAAAAATTCGTTTTTTTCTCTCTATCTCTCTCTCTCTCGCTGTTTCGCTGTGTTTGTTTTTGTTGCCTCCGGCTTGAAGTGCACCACTTGAAACTCTCTTCAGTTTCAGTTTCAGCTTCAGCTTCAGCTTCGACATCATCTTGGGTCTTCAAGACGGTCTCTGCGCTTCAATCTCTGCCATTTGTGTACGGCCTTTGTCTTGCTTTAAATTTTTTTGTGTTTCTATTATTTTTCTGTTGCCTGCAATGTCAAGTGGTGGACGTGTGCTTGACCTTTCTAGATGGCTATACGTGGCTAGCTATAGGTGTATATGGGGAATATTTGACTATAAGCATTTGTAGGCTGTTTTATATGGGGTATATAAGGCAGGTCGTGTTGATATTATACGATAATACGGGATATCGCACATATAGGATATAAGGCAGCTATAGACTGTGTTATACGATGATACGATGATAATCCAGGGTATCGAACAGTCGTTATATGTTGAATCTTCATACTGAACTTCTATATCTGTATCTTTTGTGTCTTCTAGGTGTTATATAGGGTATATTTCACTATGTATTGTATACATATATAAGGCAGCTATAGATTGTGTTGAAAATAAACGATGATGCGATAATGCAGGCTATCGCATATATAGGATATAAGGCAACTGCAGATCTTGTTGATATTATACGATGATACGATGGTAATCCACAGTCGTTAGATGTTGAATTTTAATACTGAACTTTTATATCTTTATCTTCTAGGTGTTATATAGGGCTACAGATTAATGATACGATAATGCAGGGTATCGCAGAGTCGTTACATCTTGAATTTTCACTCTGCCATAGTCGTCTTTAATCATGTTACAGATTTATTATAGATGTATTCTATATACATATATAAAGAGTTTCGCTCAGTCGTGCCAAGTTCTAGTAAAATATTCTCAGTTTTTCTTCTACAAAACAGAGTAACTTTTAGTCTATCAAATATTGCGAATTTCTTAGCTTTTTTCAGGCCACACTTAAGTAGTTCAACTGTTTTTTTTTTTGTTGAGGTGTTAATTTGCTGGCCGCTCAAGCACTGCGGAAGTACTCCGTTTATTTATAGGCCTCGCAGCTGGGGGAGCGACTGAAGAGGCCCACAAAAAGCAATTGAAGTGGGCGCTTGGCCGGGCTTCATCTCGGCTGGCTTTGGGTGCGTGTGTCGCTGTCAGCAGCTGTCTCATTTGTAAATTGAAATAAATTAAAAAACCGAATACATAATTTAATATGCATTGCTAGAACGTCGGCTGTCGCGTCCTGCCGATCAAAATGCAATCAGAGATTGTTGCGGAAATTATTTATTGATTAAAATTGATTGTGAGGCTCAACAATAAAGTCATTTGCTGGCGGCTGTGGCTGCTGTCCAAAATCTGAATTTAAATACCGTATAAGACTCATTAAATAATCATAAGCATAATTAAAAAATAACAACAAGCACACACGCACACATGCACGCATGCATACATGTCAATTTACAAATTACGAATTGAACTGGAAACGTTTGTAAAATTAAATCGAACTATGTAAATTTTTTTTCTCTGCCGCTTTTATGGCGTTGTTAATGAACTGTTATTGTCGCATGTCGCATGCGGCATGTGGGCGGTGGGGCGTGGCCAGCTGGCATGTGTCATTAACATTTATAGCTCTCACGCATGCAAATGAGCTGAGCTGAGAGAGAAGCCTAGAGCGAGATAGACTCTACATAATACGCCTGCAAATCCCAGCTAGAACAAATACGGAGATCTATAAGCGCCTTACCTTCTCTTGTATTTCCCAGCCTAGATAAGACCTGGCAGCGGCTCAGCCGACAAGTAAATCATTTCCGTGGCTGTTTGTCTGCCTAAAAGGCGGCAACGACTTTTCATTCGATACGCGCAGTTGCGCCCCAAAATCGGCTATTGGGAATAGATGGGTGGGTAGCCCCTGACTTGTTGCCTGCTTGATTTGCTTCTTTTTGGGCAAAAGCCAGTCATGTGCAATATTTTATGTGTCTAGGCCTGGCAAGTAGCTGCGCGGGTGGGTTGTCTATGAAGAGCATAATTTATAGATCTAGTTAAACAAAAACAAGCTGAAGTGTTTAAAATGTGAGTGACTGACAAGGAAATACTCTATAAATTAGACATCCACTTCTACTTCTACTTCTACTTCTACTTCTACTTCTACTTCTACTTCTACTTGTACTTCT